GAGAAAAAAAAACGGAAAAAAAATCTGATCAACGGGAAGAAGAAACACCCGCGATTGATACCATGAAGTGAGACTGTATTGAAGACGGCTCAAAACTTGTGCCGTGAATTTGATTTTAGGGTTTGTTAAATACAAGGAGTGTGATCTCAATCAACTCCCACAATTACGGTACAAATCTCTATCTAAGGTAAGTATATATTTTACAGTAATGACTAAACTATTTACACAAAATATATACCGTAATACACCCCAATATAGATTCTCCAAAATTAGAGCTTGTTAGTCATCTTGCATGTAATATAAATTTTCAAAGACATTTGCTTGTTATACATATTTATACACTTATTAGCTCACGCAATTATTAAAACACTGAATACCTTGATAATAATTTTGAAATAAATGGAAAATAAGTTTTTATCATCTTAAAGACTTAAACCAGACTCATTCAAATCTAATATATATTCAAAAAAATTAAAAAAAAAAGGTTGAATAATTATACATGTTCAGCGAACCAACCCGTTTCCAGCTGCTGAAGAAAAACAGCAAAAAACAGGACCCCCATAACAAAGGCTGCAGGTAAAGCTATAAATAGACAAATTGAATTCATTGTATTCCTACAGCACCCCCACTCCCAAATTGGGTGAAAACGACAAATCCAGAATTAAATATTAGAAACCAAAATATCCCTCTGCTAATTTGTTTTTTTGATGTGGACTCCAAAACTTTTTATTTGTCTGATTTGCAATTTTTTTTTTTTTGATTAATTTGTCTCTTACTTTCATGAATTTCATGTCTCCCGGCTTATTAAACTTGTGAGATTTAGATAAGCAAATTACCATTTATCGTATAATATGGATTTAGAGAATCTTAATGTTAGCAAAAGTACAATTGCTTTAATCACCACGGAGGTAAAAACAAAAAAGAAAAGACAATGGCAGACTATTGTAATTGGGCGCTTTCTATCGATCACATTGTCATAGTGAATTTCATGATGCACCTCACAAAAGAGTTCATTTTTCTTAAATCTTTGTTCAAAAACCGCGTTTCCATACATTTGAATTGTGGAAGTTTTAGGGAAATTTAAAATTAATTTACAAATTTCTCCAGACAAAAAAGTCTCTAGTATACTCTATAGTCTTTATCAGGAGCGGAGCCAAGCCTCCAATAGTAGGTAGGGCAAACAAAATATATGCAAATCTTGCTGAGGCAAGACTGAAAATGTTTTAAAATTTAGTGATACATTTTATAATTTAATACTATATAAGGGGTATTTTAAAAATTTTGAGCTAGCTAGCTATAACCTCCCTCCACCCCTGGTCTTTATTAGTGTATAAGAAGAAGTGTTTTTAAGATATGAACTCATCTTTTCCTAAAAAGAGAAAAATATATGAGCAATGAACAACTTTTGGCTTATGATATGAGAAAACGGCACAAGTTACTCATCGTCTCATTTTAGTAGTCTCGTTGACTATAGTAGGTTGAGCAAATAGATAATTTTCACACTAGAAATTCGAATAAGAACTGCAACCGATAAATCTTTCAGATTGATCCCATATCAATTTCTTTAAATGAATCATGACTGAATGCATAATAGTGCGATTTTGAAAGGAAGCGGAAAAACGCTATTGACAATGTAAAAAGAACTAATTTTATGAAATCAAAGACGGGATTAAAAAAAAAAAAAAATTGAAATTGGTTGACATTCCAATATCTGGAAAACTACATAATGATTATAAAAAAGAAGAGGAGAGAGAGGGAGTATGACAATTAGAAAAATAAAAATAAAAATGAATCTATTTGGTTCAGACGTTTCAGTAGTAAGTAGTATACTGCACATATCGTGGCTGAGGCAAGGGAGAGCAGCATAAGGAAAAGAAAAGAGAGATTTAAAAAAGGGTAGAAAACAAAACAATACGTGTGGGTAAGAATCAGCAAAAATTTCAGAACTTCTGAAACAAAAGATAAAAAAAAAAAATAGACTGAAGAAAAAAATATAATGATGTGAAAATAGAGAGAGACATTCTGATCGATCTGAGGAGATCTTACATGAATAAAGAAGAAGCAGTAGGAGGGAGGAGGAAGAAGGAAAGGGCAAAAGAATTGATGTGCACGTGAAGGTGGTACTGTAATTACTGTGTTGTATATTGTCCTTGTCCCCCCTTTTGGGCTGTCTCTTTTTTTTTCTTGCATTAATTTCTGTGTCTACTACCCTCTCTTCACACCCCCCCCCCCCCCACCCCAAGTTTTGTACAAGTACGCCTAGCTTATATTGTATTGTGTTACACGACTTCTCTTGGGATGATGGATGATGAAATTTGGTATTCGAGATGATGCCTTTCTAGGAATCGAGTCGTGCGTTTGTATGGGGTGATACCTTCCATATCAAGGTTGAGAGTTTGATTCCTGCTACGCACGAAACATGCAGTTGACGGAGGAAGCAGGTACCTCACTGAAACAGTTTCGTCAACCAAGTAGGAGATCTGCTCATGCCGACCAAGGAGGTTCGAACATCCAAAAAGGCGCACTCGAGTGGAATCTCTCCTCTATTTAATAGGCTTCACCTCAATTGTAATATCCTATGTAACTCATAAATACTAATAGGTATTATGCATGGTCTAAAAAAAATGATGCTTTTTCTATCTATATGATTTTCTTTGTCTTAAAAATGTAGTATGATATTGGTCTCATAAAGAGCATGCCTATAAAAGTCGCATATATATCATTTTTATATGTTATAGAAAATATATTTTGACTGTAAAATCAAAACGTTGTGTGAGTTGTTTCTTTAAATAAGTATAAAGGTTTTCACAACCATAGTCGGACCATGGCCGTAGACAATCGTTGGTCGGTGATCAAGCAGTTGAATTTGGCTTGAGTGGGTTGGGAAAACATAAAAATCATACACGCTTCTTTTATTCATAACACATTACAAAACTAGAGTGAGTAGTTTGTGAATTTTAAACTAATTCTCATACATTAATTACTTGACACACAATAAAATTATAAAGAATATTGAAAATGATTTAAAACAATAGATTTTGTGATCCGCTAAAAATTCTTTTTTAATGGTTATATAATTTTGAGATAAAGTAATGAATAGGTATCAATTTAAGACTAACAATAACAAATATTCTTTAATTTTTTGTATCTATGTAAAAATAATTAAATGGATATTTTTTTAAAAGAAATTGTTTCCGTCGACTTGTTCGATTAATGTCAACGATGGCCAAAATCCATTTGTTCTTATTGAAAATATCCCCGGCGAATTTTTTTTTTCTTACACATACATTTATTGCTATAACTTTTATAATTTTTTGATGCCATCATCAATTTATAAGAAACACTGTTAAAAGTCCCAAAATGTTTATTTATTTGTAGAAATTATTTATTTCGCCTTGTAAGTTTACTTAGGAATTCCAATGAAAAGGTCGACGGAGGGAAAATCTATTTGTTTTTTTTTTGGCATAATTTTCACAAATTTTTTAGGGTATTATAATTTTGTAATACACGAATGTATAGGTATCAAGTTAAGACTCACAAAAAACTTTCTTTTTTTTTTTTTTTTAAATTTGAAATTAACCGGGTCGACTTTTTTCGCTTCGATAACAAAGTCGACAAAAGCCAGAATACAGGCAATCTATAATTTTCAAAATTTTTTGATGTTAGATTGTTTGGTAATTTCATTAATGTCTAACTATCACTTTTTAAAAGTCACAGAGTTTGTTTATTTGTCGACGCAGGCAAAATACTATTCAGAAGTAATTTGCGAAACATTTTCACTATCTTAATCACCATCTTGACTAATTTCTATGTCATTTTTGCACGCTAAGTGCTCGTCTGAAAGATCTTAACCATACTAAACTACCTTTCAACTTTTATTTTATTTTATTTTACCTTTTTAGGATTTTATTGGGTTATGATATCTAACACCTTTTTGTAAAACTAAAATGTTTTTTTGGTCTTCTCAAAGTTGAAGTTCTATTGAGATTTTGACTTATGAAAATAATCAACTTACGAACATGCATAAGAAATAAATTAACATGTCAAACTAGATTTTCGAGAATTATGACCCAAAAATCCTTTAAATTTTACTATTGAATTTTCTAATGCCTATGGTCGCTTAAAATATATATATATATATTAATATTTTTTTTCTATCAGTGTTAAAGTCATAAAATATTTTATGCTGAAATTGTTTACGTCAACTTGTTCTTCTACTTAGAACAGAAGACAAGGAAGTCGACAAAAGTAAAAAACCAATGTCGTAGTAATTCATTAATTTTTATGGTAGTATTGTAAATTATTGCACCAACATTCTATAAATGATGTGTAGGAACTAACTAGGAAGACATAACCAAACATGATATATGCCGTGCACCCGATTTTCTAATTGATAATCGGTTTCAATAAAACGACTACACAAGAATCAATTATATTAGAAAAATATAACGGTTGATTTTTTAAAATTTTTTAAATTTTAATTATTTTTTATTTATTTTTTTATATATGAATGTAAAAATCACAAAATATTTCTTCGTTTGGAGAAATTGTAAGTGTCGATTTGTTCATCCACGTATTAAGCTGACAAGAAAATAAAAAACGACCAAAACTCATTATTTTATACTCGCTCTCTTAAAATCATTGTCCATTTGAATTATATGGTAATCCATATTATAATAACTATCACTAGTGGTGGATCACTGACTAATAAATCATTCATCTCGACAATAATTTTTTTTTTTCTATCAATTTTTAAGTGGTACTCTCTTTACCCAAAAAAACAATAATACAAATATTAAGATCCAATTATAGGCCTAACTAGTCAAGTTAGCTTAACACCGCAACAAAGCCCATACTGCAAAAATGAAACTATGTTCAATCCAATCCAACGACTGAAACAGCAATTGAAATATCTAATACAAAACAGTTCCAAACTCAATTTTCAACCGACGGAAACGAATAAAAGGAGGGAAAAGACCGGGGGGAGGAAGAGAACAAACTCAAACAACAGACGGTCCAGACATAAGGGCAAAGTCTAAATCTGCAATCAAATCGTTCACGTCTTCAACACCCACAGAAATTCGAACAAGATCTTCAGTTAAACCCCTTGCTTCTCGAACCTCTGCCGGTATGGTTGAATGCGACATGAAAGACGGCAAACTGATAAGGGACTTCACAGTTCCTGTCAAATACGAAGAAGAAAGAAAAATTAGTGTAAGAAAAAAAAAAAAAATTATGTTGGTGGTAGACAAAATCAACGAAATTGGCAAGTAAAAGAAATGCACGGTGATTTCTCAGTGTGCATGAATTGATTAACGTTTCAATCACTCATGCACGATGAGAAATCACCGTAAATTTGTTACTATACGAATAAGTATAACCACCACAAGGAGAGGTTTGGAGGCCGGGTGTTGAGATTTACCAAAACTGACAGTGATACTGAAGAATTCAGTTGTCTCAGCTACATGCTTAGATAAAGCCAGTGAACCTGTTAGGAAACTGAGAACAGATCCAGCACCCTTGGCCTAAGAAAATAACCATGACAACAATCAGGGTTTAGAAAACCGAAAAATTAACATGGCTTATTGTACTGATCGAGTAAGAATGTTTCCCTTTTAGCTAATTTAAAGTAATGTTTACCTGGGAAAAGTGTAAATCATGTCCTCTATGAGTAGGAAGACCAGCGTAGTTAACCTGTTTCACTCGTGGGTGATTGGAGAGGAATTCTGCTATTTTTTGAGCATTTTCCTGCCAAGACATATATGCACAATTGTCAAATTTCCAAACTCTGTACAAACGTTATGCACAAATGGTAATAACAGAACCATTACAGCATTGCAGAAAGCTTTATACAAGTTCTTGCAGCAATCATAAAATGATCCAATGGGAGTGTATATCAGGAATACAAAGAAGCTGCGCAGAAAACCTGTTGTTTCTCGACTCGTAAAGCCATGGTCTTGATGCCTCTTAAGCAGAGCCAACAGTCAAATGGAGCCAATCCAGCGCCTTCAGCACTTTGAATAGCGTACAAACTTCTAGCCAAGCTGAATTAATACATGAAATGAATGCTTATCGTAAGTAATCAATCAGTAAGGCAATCACATATATATACTCACTCCGTTCTAAAATGATTGTCTTTTGTATGAAAAATCAATACTACCAACGAGACAATCATTTTGGGTGGTGAGAACACCAATTATCCTAAATTAAATCCAACTGCAATCGTAGCCCTTTTCTATTCTGCCCTAGTATACAACCATTAGGAAATAAGATGCATGCTTTTTAACTTGTAAAAAACTTGGAAGCTTGGTTCAAAGACACTGTAGAAAGCTATCAATCAAACATACATGTCAACTAAAAATTTGTTTGCATCAAGATTTGCCTAGCTAAACATGAAAATCAGGAACTAAAACGAATTTCCGAAACAGAAGTGAAGTCACCTTTCTCCCCTAACAGCTAGTACGCCAGCCGTCACATCGCTGTGACCCGAAACAAATTTTGTGGCAGACTGCATGGCGATGTCTGAAATGTGTAGAAGCTTCAGATGATCAACCCCCATTTCGTAACTGGTGGCATTATAGGTAAATAAACACTAATTACCTGCTCCAAGTTCTAAGGGTTGACACAAGACAGGAGACATCATGCTGTTATCGACCAATAAAAGTGCTCCATTAGCATGTGCAATGTTAGCTATTTTCTGAAATGAAACATCAACAGATGGTTGTCGAAAATTCAGAGTTTGCAAACATTAAAGAGAAGGAACATATAATTTCAGATTCAATGTCAAAGGAGAAAGTACACGAATGTCGGAAATTTGTTGACGAGGATTGGTAAGGCTCTCAATCCAGACAAGTTTAGTGTTGGAGGTGATTGCGGATGCAACCTCATCTAAGTTAGTTGTATCAACACGCCTGCATCAAAAATTCAAATGATGATCGAAATAATGGCAATCAAGAAGGCATACTTCCAAGGTAAAATTTTCAGCACGCACTTAACCACAATTCCTGAGTTGGGAACAAATTGTGATAACAGCTTATCAGAACCACCGTACATGTCATCTCCAGCAACAATCTCATTACCTAAATCAATTGATTCAAACAACGGAAGTAAGTTTTATAGCTTGGAACAGGCAAATACGTGACAAGTTTTGTATTTTCAAAAAATGTGTACAAATTAAGAGTAGAAAATTACCACTTCCAACCAGACGGGTGACGGCCGATAAAGCAGCCATTCCACTAGAGAAGCATAATGCTCTGTTGGCTTTATCAAGCTTAGCCAAGAGTCTGAGAAACCAAAAAGAACAAACTTGACTAATGGCAAGAGAAAAATGATCATTTTATGAATGCTTTCAATAATTACTTAAAACGGAGGACCTTTCTAAAGTATCTCTGGTTGGATTTGCACATCTCGAATAATCATAAGGGCCGCACTCTGTTGCCGAAGGCTGCGATAAAACAGGTGTGGAAATGAAAATTATGAAAGGGCATCATTACATTAAATGGACTAAAAAGATCAACTTTCAACATGGTGTCAATCAGAAGGCAGTAAAGAAAGTTGGTTTACCTGCTTGAAAGTTGCAGTTTGATAAAGAGGAGTACTCATGGAATCGTAAGGATCAAACTCATTAGCAAAATTCATCAGCATTGTGGAGACACTTGGCTCCCTAATTAACTCTTCATCTTTGACGTCAATATCCAAATCTGACATTCATTCACATCTTTGATATCAGTTCTATTCAAAATTTGTACCTTGAAAAATAAATAAACCAAGTATTTAAAAACACTGCCATACCATTAAAACAGCACTCTGCAGCACCAACAACATCAGTAGCAACAGCGGACAAGCTCATGTCCATGTCCTTTTCTTTTGCACAACTTATCGAAAACTTCTTTGTGCTCGGCCAGTGATTTTCTTGCACAAAGCCTTTGCAACTCAAACTATCATGTAAATTTCTTGTCGCAACACCCTGAAAATTAACAATGAGATCTTCAATAAACCATGAATGATGATGACATCCGAATTTAGCCTAATTTAAACCAGTCAACCATGTTATGCATGCTTTTTAGCTACCACAACACAAACACTTCCATTAACTTCTGTTTTTTCCAATCATTCAATCAAATTCATAACAACCAATCCATCAAATTGAATGCCAAAAAGAGATGCAACATGCAGAATCATAAGTACTACCAAAATCCACAAATTCAAAAAAGTTAAAAAGGATTTTGTCCATTTACAAATCAAAACAAAAAAAAAAAAAAGGAAAAACATCTTACACTGCGGTCAATTAAATGGGGAAGAAGGGTAGCCGTATGAGAGTTGAGAAACAAAGAAGCCATCTTTTTTACAACACAGAAGTTCTCTCCTGAATTTCTCCGAATAAATCTTACGAAAAGGGTCAAGAACAACAAAATGAACTGAAGCCTGTTCCTAGTTTGAATTCTGCTGTTGAGCTTTGAAGTAAAATCGATGCCTTAAATACTACTGTTAAAGTTGAATATCACAATCATTAAACAGAAAATGGAGATAACTTGAAGCTAACTGTGACAGCTATATACGTTAAAGTATATTCTTCATCTTTTTTCGGAACTTTCTCTTCGGTGCCGTATATTTTCTTGCGGGTTTAGCGCTAAAAGAGAAATCTAATTGTGAGACGTTACTACAACACTCCTAGCCGATTAAAGGAGAAGAAATGTAATTTTCACAAACTTTATAATGAAATTTATACTTTTTTTTCCGGACCTTAAAGAGGTCTTGGTAATTTATTTACTAACCAAGAAGAGAGACAATTAAAGGAGAAAGAATCGAATCAATGGATATATCTTGATCAAATGGGAAATGTTATTAATCACAAATTATAATTGATGATGAATATTTCTTTATCTTCTTGGGAATTCTTATATTCTAATTTTGTACTCCCTCTGTCCCATAATTATTGTCTCAGTTTAAGATTTCACTTCTAATACAATTTAAATTAAAAATAAAAATCCAAACTTAACATAATTATGGGACGGAGGAGTATCAGGGAGTATTTCATTTTTCTAAGATTCAGTGTACTTAATTTGCCAACTTCAGTAGTTCGTCTTTAGATGATGTGAGTGGGATTTAATACTTTGATGATATATCTAGTACATATATAGTGATTTTATATTTTTAAAAAAGTATGTTTTACTAATGGAAAATTGAGATACGGTGCTGGTTCATAGTTAATCCTTTGATAACTAACGATAGTCTAATTAAATGCACTGAATATAATGTACTATGTGGAATCAGAGATTCTGATACTAATGATTAAATGATGATACTCTATATCGAATAATCGAATATTCATTCTCCCTTCCTTTCTTATACGTTTAGCAAGCATACATTTTAATTGGCATATCATGGTTTCATGATATCAGAATTTAGCTTAATTTAAATCGAAGTACTAACTTTATTTGTCTTCTCCCTTTTCCATTCCACTCAGCGAAGCAAGCAACTAAACCGCATTAAGGAGGGAAAATACTCGGGTAATTTTGTGCAATAAGTTATTTTTAAAAAAAATATTGGATGACACCATCGAGAATTGAACTATTGGTCTCCTGGTAATAACCATCCTTATTCTAATTCCTTAACCACCCCACCCGACCTCCCACCCCATTTTGTGCAATAAGTTATTTTTGTCACTTTTTTTTTTACATTTTTTAATTAATCTTGATAGAATTTCTAAAGAAATATATTTTGCCATGCAGACGCTAATAGATGGTCAATTTTGGTGCTAATTAATTGGATGTTTAAAAATTCGTCCATTGGACATAATCAGCCGAGAATTGATACGCGGGAATTAATATCATTGGCTAATTGCTAACTTTTAGGACTAAATTGGTAACTAAATTGAAACTTAACTACAAACAAAATACTAGAAATCACATTTCATAGCATGATTAATTGCAAAAGAATTGGCTGATTGGCAGCGTGTTCTTATTTCAGCACCATTACATTAAAAAATTACAAATATTTTATGGAAGAATATAAAAAGAAAAACACTGAAGTTTTAATTGATAACATCCTCAAACACTGGAGGTGTACTCCAACAATTATTGGCATTTCTACAACATATAAAATATTGGGATTTCAGGATTTATATATGTACGCTTAAACAGATTGAAAAATAAGAGGAGCTCCATGTTGTGGCTGAAGGGTGATGACACTGTGAGGAGCATGAACGTAGGAAGGTGAGAGTTTGAATGAGAAATTCTGCAGAATCATGGATAGTGCCAACTTGGCTTCTATAACTGCAAAATTTTGGCCTATGCAAATTCTTGATCCCCACCCAAAGGGATAGAACGCTGTTGCTTGATCTTTAATTGTTGCCTTTGAAACTCCCTCAGCAAACCTTTCTGGTTTGAATTCTTGAGCATCATCACCCCAATATTCAGATGAATGATGCAATAACACAGTTGGTAGATTAAGTTCCACCCCTGCAGGAACGGACATGTTGCCTATTCGGGTTCTTCCGGCCGTGAATCGCCACAGGTTGATCACTGGGGGGTATAATCTCAGGACTTCATTCAACACCATTGTCACCTGCACAAAATCATATCATCCAAATTCAAGTAGTTTAAAGATATTTATCGATACGGCTTAATTTAGAAGTCTTATGCAAAGATAACATTTCAAGAACAAGGTTGGAACTGGAGGAGATTAGGAATACTTAATTCCATGTCTACTTTGATGTGATTAGTATCCTGATATTATAACTATTGTAACATTGATACTTCATTGCTATTCAATCAAATGTAGCATGGTACTAGTTCTTCTCAATCAAGCCTTTCCGATATTAGTAATGTTACATTCAATGATAAAATAACAGTGATCTCTCATAGTGACTGATATGGCCTACCGGTTGATAGTGAAGCTGTTGGCATAAAAAGAAACATCTTAATTTCTAAATTTGATTATTTTTAAGATAAGGGGTAACTTACGATTTTTAGCTGGTTCAAGACATCGGCATCTGGCGTTTTATCCCCGCAAATCTGATGAACTTCTTGCCTGGCTTTTTCTTGCCATTCTGGATGCAGAGCTAAGCAGAACAGAGTCCAAGTGAGCCAGTTTGCAGTAGTTTCATGGCCAGCAAAGTAGAACAGTTTACACTCCTCTATCACATCATCTATTGTCATATCATTGCCCTTTTCTTCTTTGCATTGTAGCAGCAATCCAAGTAAATCAGTATCGCCGGACGATTCTCCATCCAGAATTGCTCTTTGCTTCTTGTTAATAATCTCTCGTAACATGTTTTTGATCTCCTTGTCTACCTCGTATCTCCTTCTGTTCTTCTTGGTTGGTATAAATCTGCAATAAAAATTTTAGTAAAAGAAGGAATATTCAGACATTAAATTCCAATTAACAAACACGAAAGGCGACCTAATTATCACTAAGGAATATACTTTACCGAAGTCCAGGGAAGTATAAGGAATTAAAGGCTTCATTAATCAAGAATGCTTGTTCTTGTTGAAGCTCAAAGATTTTTTGGCCTTCTTCGTAGCTGCTTCCAAATGCCGTTTTGGCAATTACGTCGGCTGAGAGATTACGCAGCTCAGAACTAACATCAATTTCAGTCCCTTCATCTGAAGCAGCAACCAATCTCTTCCAGTGATCCATCCGCTTGCGACAACTTGCTATAAATTCTGGTACCATGCCCTGTTTTCATTTTTTTTTCCCCTTAGTAAATCAAATATCGTAATATTTTTACCGTCCTAAAACAATAGTTCACTCAAGCGGATCGTCTGAGGATATAACTAGCTACCCTTTTGGCAAAATGTTACTTTAATTTGAAATCAAAACCTCATAAATAGCATAAAGAATGTCAAGTAGGGAAATGTGTAAAATCATTATTTTTTTTTTTTGGAAAATGCTAAAATCATTATTCATTATGTATATGAATCGAGTTACTTTTAGAAAAACAAAGTTTTTTATTGATTACCAGTAATTTTTGATGATGAAATGCTGGATTGATTAATCTCCGACGTTTTCCCCATTTTTGTCCTTCGAAGGTTAAAACTCCTTTAGTCAAAAGATCCACAAGTGGATTCTGTGGTAGCTTCTGGATATGGCCATTCTTGTCATTCAATATCATCTTCATCAGCTCTGCCTCTGCTATTATCAACCTTGGCCTTGTTCCACTCCAACTGAAACACATATTTCCTATGTTACCAAAATCACCCGTCAGCAGATAATTCAATAAACATGACTCTTTTTCTGGAAGTATTTTTTCCGGTAATACATATAAGACACTAATTGAACTAATTTTAGTACTAATTTTGTACCTCATAATAAAGATCAAATGTAGTACTTTGTAATACACCAAGTATGCCATTAGAGGAATTATAAACGAATAATAAATTTGCAACTGAAGTGAAAAGAAAAGATGGATCAAGAGACATGTACAAACCATATTTTTTCACCATGTGATCAATGAAGGGATTGACACGTGGAGCGATCTTGTGGTTTAAGGAGATGGGCTTGGACAATGCTTCATTGGCCATCTCTTGCATGACCAGGTTATCTCCTTGGACAAGCTTGTACGATGTTCCTTTAATCCCCTGCTGCCTCAATAACTTCTCTAATCTTTTTGGCTTCAAATAAACCGAATAAACAATTTTTGAAACACAAAAACAAACAAAAATTGCAAAGCAAACCGCTAACTCGATCAGCATGGATTCTTCCATGAATGCCAAATTTGGCAAATTTATTGAAATCAAGTTCTGAATTTGTAATCTGGCGATGAATGCAACATATATATTTATGTTGAAATTGGTTTGTGGCGACTAAGAATTCAGCTGGAGATCGAGGTTTGGAAATTCAATTGTTTTCTGCAATGAAAAAAATATGTTTTGGTCCAATAAAAATGTGACAAGTTTACGTTGTGTCTATTAAGGTGGGTATATGTCATTATAAGATACGTATTGCCATTTTGGGTATCAGAGGAAGATGATAAAGTAGATGATATAATTCTGGGAAATGAAAAGGTCAAATGAAGGAAAAGTCGTGTTGGAACCTCCATATACATGGAAGGAATATGTATTCCGCAAGCAAGGCTAACTAGCTGTATTTAGAAACTTTAAGATACTCCTTCTGTTCAATAATAATAATTCTAGTTTAAATCATAAATTCAATGAATTAGATGTTTAATCTTAAAATTTTAAAATTTAACTTTTCAAAATTAATAGATTATTATTACATCTATTTATAAAATCTTTTCAACATCATGATGTAATACAAATCTGATAACTAATTAAGTTCAATTTTTCGGAACAGAATTGGAAAAAAGTAATTTGGAATATAAAAATGGGACGAGAGGAGTATCATATTACTTGCACCGTTTCAGTTTTCATATGATTGACTCCTAATTTGGTTATTCGTGGCATTATTGAGTAAATTAAGCCTTTATTGGATAATAAGCTACCGGTGTAAGTGTACAAAAAGTAAACTACTAGCTTGAAAGGGCAAAATTTAGATAGGAAGAATGCACTTGTTAAAGTTGAATTTATTAATTAGTTATACCCCTCAACAATTATCTTGGCAAGAAGATTTGAACCTTTTCTATCAACTTGAGGTGATCCAATTTCTTTTTTCTTTTTCTTCCTTCGATTTTTTTGGCTGCTTATCAATGATTGGTTAAGTGTCTATTTAAAGTACGTGCGTGGTTGGACTTGTAAGAAAATAGATATATATCTTTGATTGGAAAAAACAAAGTCATGCACGTTCTGAGTTCTGACTATTTTCTCAAACTAGTAAATGAACTTGTGAAATGCGCGAGTTATCAATCTTGTAGCCATATATTGTCTTCTTCTCTCTCTATATATAGTTGAGACTCATCAAGTCGAAACCAATTACTTGCAATGTACCAACTTGTTCTGGATTGATTGTTTATCAAACGCAAGAGTCTTATAGAACAAAACGAGTAAATTTAACATTATCGTCCAGTTTGAAATTATTTTTAGTACAATTTGAACTAAAAATAAAAATTCAAATTGAACAAAAATTTTGAGACGAAAGGAGTAAGTAATATTTTGATTCTCATCAATCTGTATTATATATTTTCGTTTTAACTACATATCAAAAAGCTAGCTTTTAATGCTCAAGCACACTGACTTATCGAATCTGCTTCATCTTCACTGAGTAATCTGGGGGATAAAGAAGACGAATCCCAAGATATCGATAACCTTGAAGTACTAATGATCTCCCCAAAGCACTTCAATATCTTCCCAAAACCAGATGAACCAACCAATTGGTCACTTTAACAAGTGCAGGAGCATAAACGACGCCTAATGTAGACTCTTTAACAAGTGCTCCAGCATTCCAAATTTCCCACGCCGCATCATCATCATCATCTTCATCTTTTTTTTCTTTCGAGGGCACAAAAGGGTTTCATCACTGTGCACTTTGAATAAGGAACCTTTCCTGATCACATTGTGCCTGAGTCGGGGTTGGAAATACAGTTTATTTCTTGAGTGATTTTGACCATGCTTTGGACTGTTTTTCCTGATATATGAATGGTGAGAATGGAGTGGTTTAAAGTATATTTTTGAGTGATGTGCTCAAATTGTTGACTGTTAGAAATTGTTGAGAACGAACTGTATCGATTCCCACTGATGTGTTAGATTGTTGTATGACAAGTCCAACCTCTTCTTCTGAGAGGAGATCGAATGTTTGCCATAATGTGAATTTTTGTAGATAGAGATATTTTTCTCTTCGTCATCTACGTATTTTTTTTCTTTTGTCAACCACAGAATTTTTGTGATCAACAAGGGACTTATATTTGATAAGAGGTGGTGGTGATTGAGGGTAAGTCAGATGTTTATGTTGCCTGAGGCTGGCTTTGAGTGAATTTAAGAGGGAAGACCCGGGATGAAACTTGGGACTTTTAGAATTGGAGTTTGAGTCAGGAACTGGTGATGTCAACGAGGATGAGAAATAATGCAATGAGGCTGGGTAATGATTTTTTTTGTAGTGGTCATAGTGTGATAGGGAGTAATTTTGACAAAGAGTAATCTTGATCGGTTTGGGATATCCAAGGACATGGAACATAGGTGCGAATAGAAGATTGATAGTTTATTTTTTGAAAGAAAAATAAGTGGAAGCTTGGCACAGAAACAAGGCGGAACCTGCTCTGACACCAAAAAAAAATTGAAGAAAATAAATAAAAGAAAAGCGGTTGAACGGGAAAATAATAAAAGATTACATTGTAACTGAATTGAATACTAAAAACTGAGATGGAAGCCATATATATAGGCTTCCTACACATGATAATTATTCTATTTTAACTACTAGATAATAATTAAAAAAACTAAATAATCAACTACTCAACACTTATTATTCCAGCCCTTATTTATCTCTTCTTGATGATATCCCCTTCATGACAATTATCTTTAACATCCTCCCTCAAACTGAATCGGGATTGGAGACAAAGTTTGTTTCGTGAGTGATTTTGACCATGCTTTGGGCTACTTTTCCTGATATATGAATGGTGAGAATGGAGTGGTTTAAAGTGTATTTTTGAGTCATTGCTCAAATTGTTGACTGTTAGAAATTGTTGAGAACGAACTGTATCCATTGCCACTGATGTGTTAGATTGTTGCATGACAAGTCCAACTTCTTCTTCTGAGAGGAGATCGAACATTTGCCATGATGTGAATTTTTGTAGATATAGATATTTTTCTCTTTGTCATCTACGTATTGTTTTTTCTTTTGTCAACCACAGAATTTTTGTGATCAACATAAGACTTATATTTGATAAGAGGTGGTGGCGATTGAGGGTAAGTCAGATGTTTATGTTGTCTGAGGCTGGCTTTGAGTGAATTTAAGAGGGAAGACCCGGGATAAAATTTGGGACTTTTAGAATTCGAGTTTGGGTCAGGGACTGGTGATGTCAACGAGGATGAGAAATAATATAATGAGGCTGGGTAATGATTTTTTTTGTAGTAGTCATAGTGTGATAGGGAGTAATTTTGAGGAAGGATAATCTTGATCTGTTTGGGATATCCAAGGACATGGAACATAGATGCGAATAGAAGATTGATAGTTTATTTTTTGAAAGAAAAATAAGCGGAAGCTTGGCATAGAAATAGGGTGGAACCTGCTCTCATATCAAGAAGAAAAACAAAATTTGAAGAAAATAAATAAAAGAAAAGCAGTTGAACGGGAAAATAATAAAAGACTACATTGTGACTGAATTGAATACTAAAAACTGAGATGGAAGCCATATTTATAGGCTTCCTACATGATAATTATTCTATTTTAACTACTAGATAATAATAAAAAAATAAATTAACAACTATTCAATACTTATTATTCCAATCCTTATTTATCTCTTCTTGATGATATCTCCTTCATGACAATTATGTTTAACACAAATAAATTAAAAAGAGCTGTTAATAACTGTATGCTATTGTTTGGTGATGATCAAGATGCTAATCACATTTATATAGACAACTTTGAGGCCGCTTCTGGTTCACAAACGGAATGAAAAATTTGGGGATTTGGCAATACTTAAACTAGTAAGTCATTTTCCTATTCCTAAAGGATGATGCTACACTGACAAAATAACAAAGAGAAAAATATAAGACGACTAATACATAGTAGTTCTTCTAACTTTTAACATGAAGAATATCAGATACATATCAAAAGTTTGGATTTGGATTTTTTTAAACAAAATTCCGGTGAATGACTTGGTGCGTATGTTCTTTCTTTCAAATTTCAACCCTAAGTCCAAAATCAGAAATCTTCCAGTGAAATCCAGATTTGGTAGTTCATATAATGAAATACACCTTCACTCCTAAGACCGTACAATAAAGTGGATTACTTATCTGAAATGAAAGGAGTATTTTGTGTTGCTGAGAGTGAATATTTAGTTGCAGAACCTTACATATATGTGTTTCTTTCTCCTTCTAAGTTCTAAGAACCTGTACAAACTACTCCCTCCTATCTTAGAAATCCATCCTTCCTTCGCTGATCTAGTGAATTACCATCTATTGTCTCCAAAAAAAAAATTCACATTAGAAATTGCAAATTGTGCTTTTTTATTGTAAAATTTACATACAATATGGACTATTTTTATTGGACGAAGAAGTAATTTTTAATTTTTTTTCCGTTCTATCTTTAGAGTAATATTGTATGTAAAATTTAAATACAGATTGTATGTAAAATATATGGGACTGAGAAGTAACTTTCAATTTTTTTTTCTTTTTTTTTTATCCTTAGACTTGCGATCCATTTTAATACACGTACAATATTGTATGTATAATTTACATAAAAAATGGACTAGTATTATGGGATTCGATCCTTAGATTAATAAGAAATGCATCATAAGTCTTACACCAACTATATATAGCTAGCTAGACCTCAACCCCCCTCGAGGCATGAGAACATTTGATTTTAAAAGTTGCTTATATGATGAAGCTCATGATACTACAGCTTTCAGAGAGATGTAGGTTCTTTTGCTGACGGTTGATGACTACAACTATTGATCATACTTCAGCAATTGATAAAATAAATAAGTACCAACTCTAAACTTGTCTTCCGTACTAACCAGTTCCCAAGTACAAGGAGCAACTCACAAAATTGAACGTATCGAAAGAACATAGTATGGCTAAATCAATCAAAAAGACAAATCCACGCATCAATATTGCTCAATTGCTCTCCCGCAGACTGATTAATTTTCAGAAATCAATCAGTCTGCTTCATCCAGTGGTCTTTGATACAAAGAAGAAGACAAAGAATCCTGGGATATTATACATAACCTTGAACTAATCACCCGGCCCAAGGAATTCCACATCTTATCAAAAGCAGACGAAACACGGCGGAGACATCTCTGGATTTTATTAGTAATATAAGTGATGTAGAAGACTTTAGACTCTTTAACACGAACTCCAGCAATATTCCACATTTCCCAATCCACATCTTCTTCTAGGGTTCCTGGTTTCATCACTGCACTTCGAATCCGAAACCTTTCTTCGCATTTTTCCCCAGGAAGATTACTCTCCGGAACCAGCTGAACCGTCACTATAACATTGCGTTTCGACCGAGGTGACACGACCCCTCTGGAGGGTTCAAATCGAATGTCAAACTTCTTCTTATTAGCACCGTGAATTTCCTTCACCTTGAAACCAACATAATGTTCATCACTCTCGTTGGACATCCGGATAGAGAAAGATGCCGCCTTGTTCGAATCCAACCGACGGGTGAAATCCACAGTTTCAATGTTTAAGAGCTCATTCTGATCAGGTGATGGCGTACGACAATTAGGGTGCGAGAGGTAAACCACTGGCAAATAGTCATCTTCTTTGTCTCCGACAATAAAATGTCGCCACATTTTTTGCTTCATCATGTCTTCTTTTTCAGTGATGGGCAATTGGGTGGTTTTTTTCAGACCAACACACTGAATTCTGGTTACGTCTTTACTTTGCATGCAAAATGGGGCATGATTTTCCTTTGTTGTAACTGTTATATCGCAAGTTGAATGGGGCAAAATAATCCCGGTTTCGGGTTTGACCTTAAACCCATTGGCAATATTGGTCGTCAAAAACCTAAAGGCAACCAGATTCTCGGTGACATTGGACAAGTAGAGATTACTTGTTAACTGCTTTTTCGGCTCAACAATGAATTTCAGTTCTCTGGGTTCAATCTTGAGAAGCATCTTTGCACTCGGGATAATTACTCTTCTTTCTATCCCAGCAAAGGAATCAAGAATTAATCTCAGTTAAGCGAACCGCATATTGAGTACTATAAATAAAGATCCATTTCGAATACAACAACTTAATTAATTATTCGAATACACGAATTAAATCATTAACCAAAACCATTAAATCATGTAGCAGTACCGATCAGAATCAACAAACACGTATATGTGGTTGCCAGTTAATTTAAGTTGTAGACACATTCAAGGTTATTACCGAATATTGACATCTCACTATTCGATAACAGCAAATCAATTATAAAAAATTCAAATAGGTGGAATAATTTGAATGCTCAACAATCAAATTAGTTAACAGAATTTGATCCATAGTCATTCAAATTCAAGGTTCAATAGTTATTTAACTAAATTTTTTTAAAAAACAATTTGCTCTGATTCATATCTTTGTAGCAGAAAAGGAAAAGAGTAAAAAGCCTTCCTACGAATAAAAAGAATTGTTTTAACTCTTTCCAAATCTAGAGAGAAGAGATGAATTTCCTATCGTGTACGAAATTATGATCAGCGAAGTAACGCTTCGCGTTCCTTTGCCTCACTCTCAAAATTGTATTTATTTTTTCTTATAAATAGTCCGCCGTTATTAAATCAAAACGATACAATAAAATAAATTATTTTACTGAGACAAGAGAGTTTGATTTTGAGTTCAAGGTCTGAATTTTCTCCTTCAATACTAGATTTTGCTGCTGATTAATTATATGGTATCATTGGCATCTTGTGAAACGGCAGAACTATAATGGGTTGAAGCACCACAATCGAAAGTTAAACTGTAATTAAACATGATATAAGACATCGTAGAAGTAACATATCTTAAAAATTTACTAATTTAGGCATCCTCTTTCAATTGCACCAAAAATAAATAAATAAAACAGGTAATTCGTATGATAGGCGGGAATATAATGCGCTCTCATTTCTTAATTTTAATCTAATTTGTTCTGAAGTGCATCATTGCTGTGATTTCTCGTTCTTTAAATTACTTTCAAACACTTGTAAGTTTCAAAAATGTTATAAACATAATACCCCTTCGTTCCCAAAAAAAAAAAAGAAAAAAAGAAAAAGTCCTGGAATACAAATTTTAAACTATAATGTGAATTATTTTTGGAATGGAGGGGAGTAATATATATGCGCGCAACATTCACTATACAACCCTAACCTATTATGAATTATCAAGATCACTCGAAGTTGGGATTTGGATTTTCCTCTATTTTTCCTTTGGGCTCAAATGCAGTCCAAAATCTTCAAGGAGTTCAAACTTCGAAGTCTATCCAATAAGAAAAATGTTCATCCAAGTTTTGCTTGTATTTGAGGTGGGTGTTATAGTAGAAGATCTTTGAGGCACTCGACTCGCTTTATTTCCTGTGTAAGTGTCGATTGGTAAAAAATTGAACGCTCAATTATTAAGGTAAAACTGAGGTAAGTGCACTTCATATGGTTTCAGCCTGGAATTATTTGAGGTGCATCATTTAGTAGTCCCGGGAGTTTAAATTTTTATTTTTATTATAAATTATATTAATATAAAAGTTAAAATAGGACAACTTTTTAAAATATACTACCTCTGTCCCACAAAAATAGTGCACATTGGATTTTCAAAATTATACAAAAAACGGTACAAAACTCAAAACTGAATGTGGACTATTTTTGTGGGATGGAGGGAATAGAAAAGACTTTGTTTTTGTAATATGAGATGTGTATATTATTAAAAGAAAAAAAAACTTGAAAATTATTAAAGAAAAACTTGAAAGAATTCACTATATTGTACACCACCAGTTGAATTCGTGAGCTCCACACAAATTGACTAAGCTTGACTAAGCTCCAAACAAATTGACTTCTCACTGAAAATGAAAAATCTTGAGAATCTTCGCAAACAACACGCTATAAATTATCTTCCCCCAGCAAGTTTTGCAAAGACGTACCAAAATCTTATTCTTTAGCTTCGATCAGTTTTGTTCACCAAATTAATATTGAGGCCAAAAGAACAGCCAGCCAGCAATCATGAAAGTGACTTTATTCATGGCCATAGCTTGGTCTTTGGCCTTTCTAATATGCACTTTAATGGCGCAAATGCTCTATTCAGTTTACTGGAAACCCAGAGTCCTTGAGAGATTCCTGAAACAGCAAGGAATTAGAGGGACTTCTTACAAGCCTATCTATGGTGACAAGAAGGTCATGCAGGATATGAACACCCAAGCTTGGTCTGTACCCATGTCATCCTTGAACCACAAGATCGTTCCACGTGTCTCCCCTTTCGTTGATCTAATGGTGCATAATTATGGTATGTACCTCCCCCACAACTGTCTATATCTTATCAACTTCTTTTAGCATTTTTTTTAATAATAAAAATGATGAAGATTATTGCTAATAGCACAAATTTCTAAGTTCAAGATGAGCTTCTTCTTCTTTTTTTTTTTTTCTGAAAGAGAGAGTATCATAATATTTTAAATAAGAATCCTCTTCATTTTTATTTAAGAAAAACAATGTGAATTATTTTATGTGACAAAAGGAGTAGCTTATTACTTGTCTAAAAATTAAAATTGTCGTGATAATATATTACAGTTAGTAAACTCATTGGAATGAAGGGAATACAATACATAATAAACGGTTTCCTAAAATTTGTTGATATTAGGAAATGTATGTTTGAGTTGGTTTGGGACAATGCCGAGGTTGATTGTAGCGAAGGCTGAACTAATGAAGATGATACTGAATGACAAAAGTGGGCAATTTAAAAGGCCACCAATAAGCCCACTTGTGGATCTTTTAACAATGGGCCTCTCAACCTTGGAGGCTGAGAAATGGGCCACACGCCGAAGATTACTCACTCCTGCTTTTCATCATGAGAAGCTACAGGTCTCATTAATTCACATTTCTCTATTGTAATTTTTTTTTTTTTTCCTCATGTTTTTTTTAGTCAACTTTCTTTAATTTCTTCAAAGCTATTGTTTCTTTTTTGCAGGGTATGGTGCCAGAATTTCTAGCAAGTTGTTGCAATCTGATTGACCGCTGGAAGAGTATATTGGCTGATTCTTCAGATGGATGGAGTGAAATTGATGTTAGTCCTGAATTGAAGACTCTTTCTGCAGATGTAATTTCAAGAACAGCATTTGGAAGCAGTTATGAAGAAGGCAAGAAAATCTTTGATCTTCAAGAAGAACAAACTGTGTTGGCCTTGGAAGCATTTCAAGGCTTGTACTTCCCGGGACTTAAGTAAGCCTCTCCATTCGTTACAATTTTACGTAAACTATTTATAGTCCTGTCGACTGAATGGTTCAGTCAATAATTCAACGATTACAATGATTTTCACTTGGTCGACAAGACTATGATTCTATACTAAGGAAAATTAATGTTTTCAAGGTTATATTATTTTGCAATATAGATACATACCCACAAAGAAGAATAGAAGAAGATACAAAGTGGACAATGAGATCAAAGGGATTTTGAGGGAGATTATTCACAAGAAGCAAAAGGCAATACAGAATGGAGAATCATCAAGTGATGATGATTTATTAGGATTGTTGTTGCAATGCAAAGAACAAAATGGCAGTGATATGACAATTGAAGATATAATTGAAGAATGTAAATTGTTCTACTTTGCTGGCCAAGAAACTACTGCTCAATGGCTCACATGGGCACTCATCATTCTGGCTATGCATCCAGAATGGCAAGAAAAAGCCAGACAAGAAGTTCTCCAAATTTGTGGAGACAAAACACCAAATGCTGATATCTTGAACCAGCTCAAAATTGTAAGTCATTTTGGTACCAAAAAGTTCAACCTTAATTTTTACACTTAGAAAACTTTATTTTGACAACTTTTATGCTACAACGGTGAAGGTAACAATGGTGTTGTATGAAGTTCTGAGATTATACCCACCAATCACCAACATGTTTCGATACACCGCCCGAAGAACTACCGTAGGAGGCATTACCATCCCGGCAGGGGTCGAAATCTTTCTACCAACTTTACTTTTGCACCATTCATCTGAATATTGGGGTGATGATGCTCAAGAATTCAAGCCACAAAGGTTTGCTGAAGGAGTTTCAAAGGCAACAAAGGATCAATTGTTGGCATTTTATACCTTTGGATGGGGACCAAGAATTTGCTTAGGCCAAAGCTTTGCGGTTATAGAAGCCAAGTTGGCTCTATCTATGATCTTGCAGAACTTCTCTTTCAAACTCTCACCTTCATATACTCATGCTCCTTATACCATTGTCACCCTCAGACCACAGCATGGAGCTCCTCTTATCTTCCGACAAATTTAAGCATATGATGATGAAAATTTCCATTAATAGTTAAAGCTTTTACCTTTGCCAATTTGTTACTTCCTGGCATAGATTTTACTTTTCTGTTCCGGTTCAATGAAAGAGGTCATGCCTAAAATTTAATTAAATACGTTGTATAGTATGAAATTTCGACTGTGTCGCGTTTTAATAATTGCGAACAAAAAAGAAATATCGTCTCAAATAAATAATTTCAATAAGATCACTTTCAACATCATACGAAAACACGATTATTGAAAAACCTCTCGCAACTCAACCGGCACGGGATTCTTAATAAAATGACGATCGAATGAAAATCAATATTCATCACAAACCCCAATTAGAAGTTGAATTAAGAGAATGTAGGCCTCATATACCTTCAATCCAGTAGTTTGAACTAACAGGAGTCCGACATTGGACTATACGACGAGAGGGACATACGTAAATGACAAACGAGATTGCGATATCGATCTTAGCTCAAAGCCACAACTATGAATCTACTAATTAACCGATACTTCTGGATATTTCCTTTCTGACTTGAGAAGAAGTCTCAATTTTTGGGAAGTAGACAAATGGCTCAAATATTAATTACATCATGCACTTTCATCACGACAAGTTACTTTGAATGAAGTTCTCCACCATGCATTTCTCTTTTCTCTACAGTTTTTTTGTTTGAAATACTATGAGTTTATTTCTATAATTATGTATTTATTCATTTTTGCTGATGGTATATGGAAGAAAACTTAAGAAGTATAATGAGTCAAACTAAAGTTTTGTTTTTTTTTTTTTAAATTTGCAAAGTCTATTAATGTTAAACAGGAAAAACAAGTGCATTTATTCCAACCCAAGTTCTGTACCTTTCAAGCGGCTAGAAGTTTTCTTTTTGTACACTTGCACTTGTGGTTTATGTCCAATAATAAAACCATTCAGGCAGGCAGCCTCATAATTAACCAAATTAGGAGCCGAATATATATGTTACTTCCGTCCTATACTAATAGTTTAATTTTTGCTAATAAATTTTCGAAATATATAAACTTACACTAATCTTATCTCATCTACAATCATGATGAAGTTATAAATTATTAACACAATAATATTCTATCCAACACTTTGGGTTTCTTACATTAGAAAAGTTCAATTCCTAAAATATTTGAGCTTTAGAAACTAGCCGGAGTGTATACATAAAACTCTAAGACGGTGCAAGTAAAGGAAATCTAGACTTTGTTGCTTGTGGAATTCATTTTTCTTTAATTAACACGCATGTGGACCGGAGGTTCCAATTTTCCCATATGACTTGTGATTCTTTTCGTTATTTAAAAAAATTATTATCTCCTATTCTGATGTCAAAATGGCAAAATCTCATTAAACACATACCAACTTCAATAGGAACACAATTATAAGTCACGTCCTGATTGGACCAAAACATTGTTGTTATTCATAAAATAAATAAATTATCAGAACCCCACCCAGCTGAATGCTTACTTGCCACCTTACCCCATTTTCTCACAACCCAATTTCAAAGTTTCAATATAAATACGTGTATTTCATTTCCAAGTTACATATTCTTCATTACGTTTCTAAGTTTGGCATCATGAAAGAATCCATCCCCATGGACTTAGCTTTATATTTGGCCATCTTTTTTGGTTTATGGGTCTCGCAAGTTGTTTATTCGGTTTATTTGAAGCCAAAAAAATTGGAGAAATTATTGAGACAACAGGGGATTAAAGGAACATCGTACAACCCCATCCATGGAGATAACCTGGTCATGCAGGAGATGGCCAATGAAGCTCTCTCTAAACCCATGTCCTTAAACCACAATATTGTTCCACGTGTCAATCCCTTCGTTGATCAAATGGTGCAAAAATATGGTTTGTTTTTTCTCGATCTATTTCTACTGCTTGCCTCTCTTTGTGCTTTCTAATTGTTGTCACTTCCATTCCAAATTATTGGTACTCCTCTTGTCCTTTGGATTTTCAGTTTATTAAAACTGAAAATACAAACTGAACAATAATTTTAACCCGAAACAGAATATCCAATGAATCATGTTATGGCATACCTACTCTTTGTTGAACTACAAAAACTACGTAATCATAATAATTCGGGAAATGCATGCTATTATATTGTATATGCTGATGGGTGATTTTGTTAACATGTAGGAAATATATGTTTGTGTTGGCGTGGAACAAGGCCAACGTTGATAATTGCGGAGGCAGAGCTGATGAAGATGATACTTAGTGACAAGGATGGCCTTATCCAGAAACCACCGGCGAATCCATTTGTGGCTCTTTTGAGTCTAGGACTCTCAAACTTGGAAGGACAAAAATGGGCAAAACGTCGAAGATTAATTAATCCTGCATTTCATCATCAAAAGTTATTGGTAATTGATTAGTCCATTTGTTTCTTATTTAAGTAGGATATCACATTATGACTAAGTCAAGTATCATTGTATGCGTATCTGTATGCTGTTTTAGTTCAACCGACATGACTCTTTTTTTCTTTGGGATGGCGAGATCATTATTTTAGTTGGTTAACGACAGGGAATGGTACCAGAATTTATAGCAAGCTGTGGGAAGCGGATCGATTACTGGAAGAAATTGGTTGATTCTTCTTCTTCAGCTGAAGGGACTGAAATTGATGTTAGTTCTGAGTTGCATAGTCTCTCAGCAGACGTAATAGCCAGAACAGCATTTGGAAGCAGCTATGAAGAAGGGAAAAAGATCTTTCAACTTCAACAAGAGCAGGCCTTCCTAATTAATGAAGCTTTTCACTCCTTATACTTCCCAGGACTTCGGTAAGTATATATACATGTTAGTCATAATGAGGTCTGTGTTTCATGTTTGTCAGATTTGGAATTTAATGTCTGAATATCTCGAACATTTCTTCCTTGGTTGGATTTTTGTTACAGATTTATACCAACCAAGAAGAACAGAAGGAGATACGAGGTGGACAAGGAGATCAAGGACATGTTAAGAGAGATTGTCAACAAGAAAAAAAGAGCAATGCTGGATGGAGAATCATCAGGTGATACTGATTTATTGGGTTTGCTGCTGCAATGCAAAGAGAAGGGAAACGAAATGAGCATGGACGATGTGATAGAAGAGTGCAAATTGTTTTACTTTGCTGGCCATGAAACTACTGCTAACTGGCTCACTTGGACTCTCATCTGCTTGGCTATACATCCAGAATGGCAGGAAAAGGCCAGGCAAGAAGTTCTTCAGATTTGCGGGGATAAAACACCAGATGCCGATGTCTTAAACCGGCTCAAAATTGTAAGTTACCCTAAGCTTTTTCATTCATAAGTTGGCAAATGAACAGAACAGCTCCTTATCCGGCTGGTATCATGAGTAGTCTTGGAAGGCTTGATTAGAAGGGAATGAACCATCAACTTGAAAAAAGTTACAATGTGTCTGTCAAAGAAATCACTTGTAGTCATAAAATTAAAGTTTTCCTTACCTGCATCATTTTGACCTTCATCTTTATAAACTACCTGAATTTGGGTAATGTGATTTTGTGTAGGTGACAATGGTGTTGAATGAAGTCCTAAGGCTATACCCTCTAGTGGTCAACCTGTGGCGATACACTGCCAGGGCAACCCGAATAGGCGGTATAACCATCCCTGCAGGGGTGGAACTTAATCTACCAACTGTCTTATTGCATCATTCATCTGAATATTGGGGTGATGATGCTCAAGAATTCAAGCCAGAAAGGTTCGCGGAAGGAGTTTCAAAGGCAACAATTAAGGATCAAGCAACAGCCTTCTATCCCTTTGGGTGGGGATCAAGAATATGCATAGGCCAAAACTTTGCAAATATAGAAGCTAAGTTGGCACTATCCATGATTCTGCAGAATTTCTCATTCAAACTCTCACCTTCCTATGTTCATGCTCCTTACACCATCATCTCCCTTCAGCCACAACATGGAGCTCCTCTTATCTTTCAGAAAATTTAAGCACAAGATACAGAAATCCGCATCTTGTAAATAAGGGAAATTTATATCTGCCAATTGTTTTGATATATTTTTTAGTGTTGTGAATTCTATTATACAGAATGTGAAGGTGATATGAAAATTACCCTACGAAGTCGCGGTGTTGAATATTATGTTGAAATGCCTTTATAAATAGGAGTATGCTTCCAATGTTTGAGTAATTCCATTACATTTGTAATTCTTGAATATGATGTTGAAATTCAATAAGAGTGCCAATGTTTTTGTAATTAATCCTTTTGTTGGTTTTATTTTGTTCATAGGTTTCTCCAACTCCACCATGGAGAGGTCTAATTGTGTCTCAACAAATTTTTGAAAATGTTCCTGTAAGTTGTAACATCTAAATCAAACTACACACTCTATCGTCCTCCAAAAATAATTGAGTTTTGTATTAGAACTATACGACGCTTTCTCTTTTTCTAATAAAAAAAAGATGGAAGAAAATGTATATAGACTACAATGTGATGAGTACATGATGTATCAATGAACTAATAAATTCGCTTCGGTTTTAATTTTCAAAAAATTTGACAATCATTTATAAGGATTTCAAATATAAGGCATAAAAGATTTATAGAATTTTTATTTTTTTGGGTATATTTAATATTTATAGAAAAAAATGTTAATCAAACCAAGGATAAGAAAAATCAAATGACGGTGATTTCAATTAAAGCTGAAGAACAAGGAAATGAAACTCAAAATTCATCACACAATAATAGTTAGTAGTCAGTAAAGAGTACATGGGCTCACCGGAAACCGCCACGTCTCTTCCGGTCATCCTCCTCCACCGCCCGCCTGAGTTAGACTCTTCCCCGATCATCCCTCGACTTAAGGACTTCTACCGGGTCATCGACCCGCACGAAGAATCCGACTCCGACCCGTCCGCTCAGACCCTATTCCGGTCGGTCCGGTTACTCCTCTGCTTGGCTCGTCCTCCGGTTACCTCCGACGTCTTGGACCGATACCCTTCTCTTGAGCTCGTGATCGCTACCAGCGCCGGCATAGACCATATCGACCTAGCCGAGTGCCGCCGGCGGGGTATCAAAGTCACGGGAAATGCCGGAGTGTTTTCCGACGATGTTGCCGATTACGCCGTCGGGCTTTTGATTGACGTCCTCCGACGGGTCTCTGAAGCTGATAGGTTCCTCCGGGCCGGGTTATGGCCTGTCAAGGGAGAATTCCCTCTTGGATCAAGGGTAATCTTTTATTGTTTCTTCCAAATTGAAGTCTTTTTCATATATAGCTACAAATTGTTCTTGGCCTACAAATTTTATTTTCTCAAGATAGAGTCAACCCACCGTGTAAAGTAAGCTATTCATCACCTAATTTATGGTTTTTTTAATATAATTACAGTAAACTAGATTATTAAAGTAGTAGAACAGAGAAGAATTCAATATAAAGATGCGATCTTGCAACTTTTTTGGGCGACAGAAGAGAGTTAGAAAAGAAAAACCTTTTGAAACTTTTGAGACATATTGTGAATTAGATACCATCGAGAAAATTCGTGGCGAATTTTGATCACGGACACAGATCAGAGGTTAGAACTGAAATACTTCAACTCCGAGGGAGCCCCCATGGATAATCATTTGTTTTTGTTGTCGCGAAAGAGTTATGAGGTGTAGTTGTGTGAAGACATAATAAGTTGTCAAAATGTACACGAATCACCGGCAAAATGGCTAACTTGAGAGAAGCCCTATGTATGTGTTGGATTCTAGATATGCTTGCTGAGGTTAACACCATATGTTGATGGCAAATAATTGTCTGTTTCTTTTTTCTTTTTTTTTTTGAAACAGAAATAATCGTATGTTAATATGCAACATTCATGCCAATAGCGTAGTGTTTGGCCTTGAAAACATGAATGATTATAGTAACCTCAGTGTTGTTATTATTTCTTTTTTGAAGAGCTCAATTTTTTGTTAAGGGTCCTTTTACGGTTCATGCCTGCTCTCCCTGAGAGGTTGGCCAATTCGTGCTGTCGATCTGAATAACGAATTTTTATTTGCCGGTGTCATGGGTTTGTTCTGCCATTGTAATGTTTCTACTTGGTCTTGTAAAACTCAAGTTCTTGGCGAATGATCTTTTGTCCATTTTGTTGGTTCTGCAATCTCTAGAAGAGCTTCTCATTTTTGTATGTTACATATTATTAGGAAAGAGGTGGAAATTAGCTGCTGAAATTTCCGAACCCCATTATCTACTTCTGTGCTTATTACCTGTTCTTACACAGAAGCACTGTGACAAAATAAATGACCTCATTCGGACTACATTCTAATTTTCCTATAAAGTCGTTGGATGTGCACAATAAACTCTTGCATTTGGAGGGTTTACATTTTTCTGTAATGGAAAAGAAAAATGAGAAGTTTCGTGTGTTTTGAATCTTTGAGTGAATGACATATCACAGATTACCGTTTCAAAAAAAAAAAAAAAGACATATCACAGATTGGCATTGTACAACCCTAACAACTTTGTGTGACTGTGTGCGGTGTTTGGTCAATTGGATTTTCAGTGACTGTTAACCATTGTGATTCTGCTCTGTTCTTCTCCTTCGTTACCAAAAGGGGAGAGCAATTAAAAATGTTGATGCAAATATCAAATGAAATTCGTGGTTTTTTTCCACAGGTAGGAGGCAAACGAGTTGGAATTGTAGGATTGGGAAGCATTGGCATGCGAGTGAGCAAGAGGCTTGAGGCCTTCGGTTGCGTAGTTGCTTACAAATCCAGGAAGATAAACCCAAATGTGTCGTACCCTTACTATGCAGATATTCTGGAACTTGCTTCTTGGAGTGACATTCTAATTCTTTCCTGCTCCTCTACAAAAGAGACATACCATATTGTCGACAAGGGCGTGATGAAAGCCTTGGGGAAGAAAGGTATCATTATCAACATTGGCAGAGGAGCCCTGATCGATGAAGAAGAGTTGGTGCGGATGTTATCGAGCGGTGAGATAGGTGGTGCCGGACTTGATGTGTTTGAGAATGAACCTGAAGTGCCAAAACAACTGTTTGAAATGGAGAACGTGGTTTTATCTCCGCACCGGGCTGTTCTAACCCCAGAATCATTTGCAGAATTACAGAAGGTGATCATGCATAATTTGGAAGCTTTCTTCTCCAATAAGCCTTTGATGGGTGAACTCGACATTGAATGATTCGAAAGTTTAATTCGTTTTAAACTTCCGTCTCTAATTACGCACTTTGCTGGAGGTACGTAGCAGCCTTTCATGTCGTTTTTTTATCCATGTAAAATTACAATTCCTTGCAGGGAAGATGGAATGTGAAAATAATATTTTCCTAGCGGGAAAATATGTCCTGTTCCACTTGAGGTCTGCTTAAGCCACGACCATTACAATTGGAGGAAAATTTTGCCTTCTAAATGGCAAATCTTCATCCATCATTGGTTAAACTTCTTTGTTGTAATTACTCCCTCCGTTTAGTTCAAAATTTTTGCCGTATAAAAAGGATGGAGGGACCAAAGGAAACATCATATTTTATGTGAGAATTAGTTGCCCAGGAACATCATAGTAAGAGTTAACTTTGTAAACTACAGTGAGTTGATTTGTGGCTTGGCATTTTTGCTTGTCATACGTTTGGACAACAAAATTTATTAAGTTACTGGCCCAATGGTCGGCTTGATACTTCTACTTCTCTCCATTTTGTTCCACTAGGCCCGCCAAATAATTTCTTCACCACAATCTTCTCTTTGCTTTCATTTCATCCTTTTTGTATGCTTTTTGGGAATCTTAATGCCAAAACAAAAATTTAGAGGCCAAAACAACTTTTGACCGTTTTGGACAACAATACCCTCCATAAACATGAGTTTATAGGTTTTTCCTTAAGGCTATTATGGCTAAAATGAGACAAAAGTTGTTTTAGCCCCTAATTTTTGTTTTGGCTTTAAGAATTCCCCTTTGTTGTTTGTTCTTTAAAGCAAACAAACTACAGTAAACTAGTGAGAAATATTGTCTCTATTCTAAAAAAAAAATAATTCACATTAAATTGTAAATTATTTTCCTTTAATGATTTTTATTTATGTTCACTTTCACCTTAATGAAGAGAGACACATTGCAACGTGATACCTCAATGGAAGTGTGGCATTTTGCAACCTTAGCCTCTAATATCATAATGTAAAATTCCACACCTAAACATTAATATTATTAGTAGAGGAAAATTGTTTTGGAAACCAAGCGAATGCATTTTAAAAGAAACGTTCACGTGATACTAGTGCCCCTTATTATGCACAATTTGATATATTACCCTTTAGACCGGTTGTAAGGCCGTATTTGATCAACATAAATTGGAGGAGGAAAAAAAAAATAGGAGGCCATATATGTTTGATGAAAGAGATGGACTAACACAATTTTTTCAATTATACAGTATCTTGATTAATTAACGAAGAAAACTCTAGCTATAATACACTTAATATGAATAAGTACCATACATAGAACAATTAATAGGAAAAAAAAATGGAAACAATCCTGCAGATTAAATCATATTCATTCATGTTTATACTTTCCATTTGGAGTTTGTATTTTTAATATAGGAATAGTTTAGACGTTTTATATAATAGATACAGTACATCATTACTTGTAAGTTTTTTTTTTTTTTTTTGTAGTTTTTCCATTCTGATAGAAGCTATGTATATTTAGTCTTTTATATGCTCTTATTGTTCTCTATACTTTCTCTCTGTTTTGAAATAATTATTCACTTTAAATGTTCACATTTAGTACAATACATGTGTCCCAAAATGATTGTCCTTTTATTTATATATATTTTTTAAACACAAGTAATTGTTGAACGAAGCGTGTGGTAAAAGAAACACTACCTCCGTCCCATAATTATTGTCCAGTTTTACTAAAATGAAAGATTTTATTTTTGGTCAAACTTAATTATATTTTACCTTAAACAACCGGATATACCCCTACATAAGTAATTATTTAACCACTAAGATTTTATGGATAATTTTTTTTACTAAGGACAAATGTGTAACTTGATCCATAAAAAGTCAAATTGGAGAATAATTTTGGGACAAAATTTTTTGGACAAAGTGGACAATAATTATGGGCCGGAGGGAGTATGCCTTTCTGGATGATCTCCTATTATATATGAGACTTATGAGTAAGAAAGTAATTTTGATTAATTTTCTGCCCATCTTTGTCGAGTAGGCTAAATGGAAAACATAACTGAAGTTTACTAACAAAATTGAAATTCGTCGAAGATGAACAATATGCACCATTTTCCTGATGTTCTCAGTTATAAAATCTTATTAATAAAATATCTGGTCATTATATTCCATTTCATTTGGAAATTTTCAGCATTTTTAATAAACTATCTTCTAGCTTATTAGTCGTTTTCTCTTACATTTAAAAGAATGCAATCTACTGTAATTTGATTAGGTGTCATTAAATATACTTAAATAATGTAGTACATGACAATGTTACAAGTCTAACTACGAACTAATTTTTTTTTTTCTCTTCCAGAATGTCCAAGAATCAAATGATCATAATTCATGGAGTGCATTTTTTGCATGATTAAATCTCCGTTATTCAACAAGAGCTCTATTATTCATGATAAATATCCTTCTATAAATTAATTATTATTAGAAGCCCGGTCGTATAGAAGGAAAGGAAAATATATATATATATATATATAATTTTCTATTATTTAACATTATTGGTTGAGAAGAAAGTGTTTGCCTATGAAGCATATATATCTTATCTATAAATCCCATCCTCATTTTTATTGCTATATCATGAGACTCAGTAGGTATTTACCACTCAAGTTCTCAAAATATATATATATATATATATATATATTGACAAATTCTTCATAATTGACATTTCATAATGTAGACCGTCTTTTTCCATGACCAAAACTAGAGAATATATATAGTACGTCAAGAAAAAGATCCACAATCAAAATTCAAGATTTGCGAGCTATAGCTAGTACGTACGTACGCAATTAAGAATCAATTTAAGCAGGAAATCTTGGAAAAATTAAGCACAAAATCGATCCCTACATAAATGCTTTGATTCAAGTAATGCCTCCCAATTTGTGGATAGGTTTTGGAGTTTGGACCACTATACTATCATCAAGCTGGTCAGATTTGAATCCAAAAAAATAGGTGCAACAATGACCAATTCCAAATCTTGCAGTCCATTATTTCAAGATTCTATACTACTTACTATCAATTCCAAATCTTCATCATCATATAAAACATGCAAGAGATAAATGCCTGTCAACTCCATTGATAATCCACACTCGGAAAAAGCAAAAAAAAAAAAAATCTGATTGTAAAATTCCCTTCTTGACAAATGCATCCCTTCCGTATTACAAACAAAATCACACTTTGTAAATTAAATAAAATAAAAAGACATGACTTTTAATCCGCCCGTTAGGTGTAACTCGAGGAATAAAAAATTATGAATAGTCAAATGTTGCAATTATATTTTTCGGGAGGAGGTATTTAACAAGGGTTATTTTGTTATTTAACTTTTTTTAAAAAAAATAGAAATGCACCTATTTTTGGAAGTAAAAAGTTTTAAAAAATCAAACACATACAGACGCACTCTTTTGGAAACACTAGTTGCCAAATTGGCCGCAGCCTCCAGCCTCCAAATCTTTTCCCAGATTCTGACGTTACTATAAACAAAAAAATTATTATGAGACCACAACAATTGGTTGTCTGGTGCTTTTTCCGTCCAATTTTAAAGGTCCATTTGCATTAATGAGATTGAAAGAATTTTAATTTATAATTATTTTTTTATTAATGCATCACATTTAACGTATAAGAAAAGCGTTCAGAAAATCAGACAAAATGATCCCGGCCCATTTTCGTAAAGAGTATCTATAGCCTACATTCAATCATTTTGGACTACGAATATGGTATCCAATCTTTATCAACGATTAGTTGAATACTCCCCAAGACTTCGAGCTTATTTTTCAAAAATAAAAAAATAAAAAATAAAAATGATTTATGGAATTCAGGGCTTTTTTCCCTGTCAAAACTCTAAAGTGTGTTTGATTTTGTTGGCATTTAATTTAGAAGAAAATATTTCAAAACATCATTATTGTTTTCTTCATCTCTGCTTTTCCTTAAATGAGATTCAATCTTTTCACTTTTAAGAGATTTGTTTAGAATCTGTCCCCTATGTTATTATTGTTATTTAAAAGAACAAAATGCTATTATATCTCCTAATTTTTTTATAATCAATAGCTACGGGATACTGTACTTATTTTTATATATTAAACAAAACGAAAAAACCTTCGCTTCACAATCTTAAGATATATTGTAATTCTTTCATTATATAATTTTATTTATTCTTTCATTAATAATATCAGTATGTATAATCATTGAACCTCAGCATATGAAAACTATAGTGGAGAATCAATTTGTGATGCAGTCTAGAGTAAGGTTTAATTTTCTTGATCTTGTCAATGTACTTTGATGAATAAATTACAATCATAATAGAATCTGTGACCACAAAAAGTACAAGATCTGGTTCAATTAAAGTGACTATAATCTAACCAACAAATCTTTTTTTTTTTCAGGAAAGAAGATAATCAAATTTAAGGAAATGAAATATTTCAATTTGGATACGTGTGCATGATTAATCTGGATTCTCAAGACAAATTAGATGATGATGAAGCCGTCAAATACAAATTATTTATATCTTTAATAATCAACTATGATCTGTTCTCTTCTTAATTGTTTTTTTTTTTTTTTTTTCGTATCGGATCCAGTTTAAAGTGACCTTTTACTTACTTTTAAACCCAAAACTATATAAATCGATTTGAAAGTTTACCCACAGGGATTAGGTAGAATTATAGCCAGACTGATCAACTTAGGTGAAATGAATTAAATATACTACCTCCGTCCCAGGACTATTGAGTTTTGAGATTTACACTAATTTTATAATAAATTTGAAACTCAATATAGACTATTTTTCTGGGATGGAAGGAGTATTAACGAATACAAAAGTTTTATTACATGAATCGATCAACGTAACCTATATCTATCAACAGAAGTTGGAAATTCTTATTCAACAAGTCAAACTATTTCAAGGTACATTAAGCAATATGAATAACCAATCGATTCAGATCTAATAAGAGAACGCACTGAAGTCGCACCCATGGTTGGTTAATTAAGCTA